CTGTACTTTACTTTACTTGGCATTCTTCTTTTTCTTTGCGTTCACCAGCTGTAAATTCTGGCGGAAAGTTATAGTTGTTCATACACTTTTGAACTGCAGTACTGTGCCAGAACCTGAGTCTTGCGTTGCGTGTGCATCCGTTTTACAGATCTGACTTATTTGTATGCATACTGCTGGTCCCTTGCCTCTCAGGCAGATGCACTCTTACTTCGAAGGAAGCTCCCAGTTAGTCGACTCTTACGACATGTTTTTGGGGTAGGTAGTGGGTCTATTTTTGTTTTCCCTATAATAGCGCCCCGGAACCCACACGGGGATATACGAAACGTGAGGCTCCGTTCTGTCCAGTGCATCTTTTTGAATATCATAGATAGAATCCGGTGCATTATCTTTGGCGTCTCTAATTAGCATTCATCATAAAGTTTATTTTAGAGGTGCCATTTTTTTTTCTAATTTAAATAGTTTTTGTTGGTATTTCATTGGCCGTTCCTCCTAACGACCCACCAAAATTATAGTATTATGTGATGCTTAAACAGCAGGGGGTGTTCCCTTTTGTACTTCATATATATATATATATATATATATATATATATATATATATAATAGATATATATATATATATATATCTGTACTAAATTGATGTCAAACGGTCTGCCGTGAAGTTTTACTAATAGTAGTCTATCTGATATTGTCCAAAATCCTTTCTCAGTTTTTTGAGTTCTTTGGAACCACTTAATACTAACACCCGTGCTATATTCCTTCCCACCTGAGTAAATAATTATGTGCTGATCTGAATACTTTTTTCCCTGCTCCTGGCCATCGCATTTCACTAATTCCTGGTATGTTGATGTTCATTCTCTTCATTTCCATCTTGATGTTAACCAACTTTCTGTTTTGTACGAGTGTTTTGACATTCCATTACTAGTGTTCAGGATGTTTCTACCATTTACCTGTTTTACAGCAACCGAATGACGGTCGGGTATTACACGTAGAACATGATGCTCCCTACCGGACGAAGTGATTCCTCTGGAATCCTTATTCACGTCGTTATCTGAATTCGTTTTGTTTCGAGGCATGATTTTCTTGGGAGAATACAGCTGGGGTTTTCCCTTGACTTCCGCCAGTGTGTATATGGTTTGACTCCAATAGCCTTTGTCTAAAGAGACTTACTCTCCAAGGCAGCAGGGGGATGGGGGGGGGGAAGGGGGGGGGGTTATGGCGCCTCTCATCCACCGATAACCATGTCGTAGAATTTTGAGGTATTTTATAGAGTTAGCTGTTCCATCAACTAAATCGCCTCCTCTCAATGACCATCACCGGTTTTAGTCCAGGGCCACTTATTCAATATAGTCGTGGCTAACATATCTAGAGGCCATTCGACCATCCGCCACCTGATGGACGCGCCTAGTAGTAGGATAGGTTGCTAAACCAGATATCCCTATATATATATATATATATATATATATATATATATATATATATATATATATATATATATAGGGACAGACCAACACTAAGATGGGTACAGGATATAACTGACTCATTAAATATGAAAGAACACGAGACAGGAGAGCTGGCGAGAGACAGAATTTCTTCCATGCAGTCCGTGATGAGAGCGACGTTCTGCAAAAGACTTGCTACACGGTGATGACCTGGAAATTTCCACGGACTGGTGATCGTCTGCCTTCCACAGTTTGAAGAACTCTCTCTATCTTAACACTGAAAACTTTTCATACACCGTAATCTTCAATTTGTTAAACTATTTAAGAATCACATTATCTTATGGCTTGGCAAGAATGTTCTTCATTACCCCGGTAGTATGCCTATAATCTGCGTGCATTGTTAATTGTGTGTTGTCATAACATTTAAATTACTCAACACGTGGTATTGGATTTGTGGATGCTGTGTCCTACATTTATATATGAAATCTGGCTGCTGAAGTTCAGTTACATGGAATTATCTTTCATTTCCGACGATCTAATTGCCTTTTTTCTGAACAATTCTAACATCTTACGAACGTCTCGATTACAAAGAGTTTTTAGGAAATAACACACATGAAGCACGTTATTAAAGTTACAATGATCAGTAATATGTGTGTCTTTGATCTGTCAATAGTTCTAGTTGTCATGGGTCGTCAGTGATTTGCCGCAACCTTCCTTTCAGGATAAATCGGTGCTTGAATAGGTACACCGATGGAAGGATTGATGGGCGTATTAATAGATACATAGCTAGTTTGACAGATTAATAGATTGACAGACATGCCGACCGAGACACAGACACACAGACGGGCAGACAGACAGACAGACAGAAGGACGGATAGACGAACAGACAGATAGACGGGCGGATGGACAGACAGACGGGCGGACGAACACACAGATAGATAGACAGATAGACAGACGGTTGGAGAAACAGACAGACAGATAACGTATAGCAAATTGATAAACGTGTCACGTTGTCTAGAAAAAATTAACAATTAACGACATAATAAAACTGTAAACAGAGCATTGGCTATAGATAAAAACAAAATATTGAACAGCAGAAAGCCGTAAACATGGACATCATTGAATTACTGATGTTAGAGACGACTCTCCGGGGTATACTGTGTCCTATTATGGAGCTAATACGGTTGTCTGTTATAAATCTCTGAAAAAAAAAAAAAAAAAAAAAACGATAGTCGGGGTGAAATTGTAGTAAAGCATACACTTTCCACATATTTGTGATCAAAATAATCAAATGTTCAGGAACACAATTTATTACCGAGCAATCAGATCTTACTTACTTACATCTTACATCTTATGCAAATAAGAAACGGTAAAAAAAAAAATATTTTGGATCTTTCTTTGTCAAATGAGTTATAAAAATCCTACCTCGATATATAATTCAATCATGGACAGGTGGTCATTTTTTGTTGAGAGATGTGGTTTTATCATCATAAGGTTTTTGGCCGACTGGCGTAGGCGATCATGTCTCTCCACAGTCTGCTGTTTCCTGGAGCATGTATCTGTTCGTGTGCTGACACATCTTTATGCCATGCAACAAGATTGTCAAGAATCTTCTCTTGTTGCCTTCCTCTATCCCTCCTTCCACAGCAGATCTTTTCAGTGGATACAACATGTTCCTTTTTTCCTCTTCTCGTAACATGGCCGAAAAATGATGACTGTCTCCTTCTGAAGGTCTCTTGAAAAAAAAAATGCCTCATGAAGAAAACTAATTGCCTACATCAGAAGGAGAGAAAATACATTGTTTATGTTACGAGAAGGAGAAAACTGAAGTACATCATGACAGTAGGAAAGTTGAAGGGGAAGAGAGCTATAGGGAGGCCGAGAGAGAAGATGCTAGAAGGTTTGACATTATGGTATGGAAGATCATTTGTGTCAGAATTAACTGAAACTATGACTATCAACACCACAATGCATGAACAATGAGCAGAAGACGGAATAAAGATATTGATATGTTGAAGTGAATCATTGCGATTGAATAGGTGAGTGGGGGGAAATGCAGAAACTTCGAGGAAGCTGAGGAGATATGGTATTAAGTTAACATTCTGGTGTGTTCTTTAGGCATTTGATAATATATTATTTTGTAACGGAATAAGTAGAGATAGAAGATTATTATGGCCTGAAGAGATTGAGACATCTGGGTGTAACCAGAGGGTCTGGCCAGCTCACTAAGGCAAGACGGACATATAACCAAATTGTCACCGGTATCATCAGTATTGGAACTCTGCGCTGGCTGCTGAAGACGAGGAGGAGTATGCATGGGAATGCCCCTGAGTGCTGTGATGTCAATTCTTGACCGAACTCAGCTAAAAAAAAAAGAAAAAAAAAGATATTATTATGTTACATTTATCAGAAGGAAATTCACCTAATAACATAAATAAACAATGACTGGGGTCGACAGGGGGTCAAAATATTCAATGTCATATTTATAAGGTAATTACATTCATGCTGAAGAATTTTTCTGTGTGTTTTTTTTTAAATTCTGACTTTGAAGCTGAATAGTAAATTCATTTCTTTTTTACCCCCCTTTGGAAAGATATGAGGAAGGAGATATAGAGGTAGACAACGAGAGAAGATGCTTGACAGTCTTGTTGCATGGCATGTAGGTGTGTAGGCACACGAACTGATACATGCTGCAGGAGATCGCAGATTATGGAAAGGCATGATCGCCCACGCCAGTCGGCAAGGCACCTGATGATGATGATGATGATGATTACCCCCTGCTGGATCTGGCGATCATGTTTCCCTCGCCTAATCCCAAGGCCCATATGTTTCATTTTTTCGCAAACTTAGTACAAGTTTTGGTGTTTTGAACAACTGGTCAACATAATGACACACGGGTGCAACCCATAATTGCTCCGTTCTTCTTCTAACTTAAGTCTGAAGAAGCTCAGCACAGTGCACAAGGTCTGTAACACCGGCGAGGATCCTGAAATACTTTAGGTAGTTTTTAAATCCACATTCTGCCTGGACAGCACCGTTAGGCTAATCTTTTCGGTTTCTAAGTGCCAAGGGATTTTTTACCTGCGTAACAATGCACACGGGCCTCTGATCTCACTACCCAGAGACCAGGGGAGTCACTAGAAGTCCATGTGAAAAAAACTCCAGCCATTACCATGGATTGAACCCGGAACCTCTAGCGCTCGACGTGGACACCATACTTCGAGACTACGCAGCACCCTAAACTTAGCTCCGAGAGGAGAAACTGTTCCGTTTGCTTAATGGCTGTATGGATATTTATAAGATCTTTTGCAGGCCAAACAAAAAAATCAACATACTACAAATCATTGTATTTGCCTTTCCGTTTATGGTTAAGCATCGGCCAGAACCCCTAGTCCCAAGTTTCGCTGCTTGAGCGATTTAGCAACCTACTTGTAAACTTCATTATCGGGTCCTAGGTCCAAATCTCCCAAAATCAACCTTCTGGCGATTTCGTTAATTGGGTTCCTAAAGATGGACAGAAGGCTAAGTGCGTGAACATAAGTTACAATAGGCCTTTCTATCTCAGACTGATCTAGCTCTTCTGAAAGCCTCGTCGTCAACCTTTCGTCCGTCTTCTCCTCCCCCTCTTCTTTTGTCTTCATTTTCTTCTCCTCCCCCTCTTCTTTTGTCTTCATTTTCTTCTCCTCCCCCTCTTCTTTTGTCTTCATTTTCTTCTCCTCCCCCTCTTCTTTTGTCTTCATTTTCTTCTCCTCCCCCTCTTCTTTTGTCTTCATTTTCTTCTCCTCCCCCTCTTCTTTTGTCTTCATTTTCTTCTCCTCCCCCTCTTCTTTTGTCTTCATTTTCTTCTCCTCCCCCTCTTCTTTTGTCTTCATTTTCTTCTCCTCCCCCTCCCATTTATCTTTTATGTATCTTCCTATCCTCCATATACTTTTCCTGCATCTTCTTCTTCTTCATTTTTCTTCTTTATCTTCTTCTTTCTTCTTCTTCTTCTTCTTCTTCTTCTTCTTCTTCTTCTTCTTCTTCTTCTTCTTCTTCTTCTTCTTCTTCTTCTTCTTCTTCTTCTTCTTCTTCTTCTTCTTCTTCTTCTTCTTCTTCTTCTTCTTCTTCTTCTTCTTCTTCTTCTTCTTCTTCTTCTTCTTCTTCTTCTTCTTCTTCTTCTTCTTCTTCTTCTTCTTCTTCTTCTTCTTCTTCTTCTTCTTCTTTTTCTTCTTCTTCTTCTTCTTCCTCTTATTTTTCTTTTTTCTTTTTCTTTTTTCTCTTCTTTTTTCTCGTTCTCCCCTTCTTCTACTGCTTGGGCACAAAACCACTAATTAGCGTAAAAACATATATTTTATACTTCTTATCGTCAACCTCCCATGGCTCCTTCCTCGTCACTCTCATGTCATCCCTATCTCTTAAACTCATTTTTTAGTTTCTCTCTCTCTCTTTCTCTCTTTCTCTCTCTCTTTCTCTCTCTCTCTCTTTTTCTCTCTGTCTTTCTCTCTCTCTCTCTCTCTCTCTCTCTCTCTCTCTCTCTCTCTCTCTCTCTCTCGGTCTTATCCCTCATTACAGAAAATAATACACGAATGAAATCAGAATGAGAAATACTATCTCTAGTCTTAGCCTACAGCTTCCCTCATTACTTTTTCTTATAAACAGGGGGGGGGGGGGAACAGTCCTTTTTTGTTTTAAATAGACTGTGCCTTGTGGCGTTGGTATTCATATTCACTTCACAGCCTTCTATCACGTGTAGCGTCAGTCATTTCTAACAGACTTGCTACTTTATCATCATAATTGCCTTGTTATACCATTCAATGTCGCATAGTGCTCGAAGTCTATTCCTTAATTCCGTTCTGTTCTGTTCAATCATTTTGATATCATTAATGAAGTCTTATCCAGCACCTTCGGACTTTCTCATCAACGTTAGTTTTATTGTTTCATTTTGACTTCGTCCTTTCTTGGTTTCTTTTTTTTCCCATTTTAACGCCTGTCTTTGATAGCTCCTTCTCATGATGTCTCCAATACAGCACCCTCTTCTTTTCGATATCATTAATGGAATCCACTTTAAGACTTTCGTCTTCTTCCTAAGTTACGTTTTGCGTGCACATCCATTTTACAGATGTGGATTATTTGTGTTCAGACTGTTGGTTCCACGCCTCTCAGACAGACGCGCTCTGACTTCAAAGGAAACATCCTAATTAGTCTAGACTTACGACCTGCCTGTTAGGGAGGCAGAGGGTCTGTTCCCACCCCGCCCCCTCCCTACTTCCACGATGGGTCCCGGAACCCACACACTTAACTACAGCCTGGAGTCCGGTTTACCTTTAATATTGAGGTGCAGATTTCACTCAGTGTTCTGATGTTAAACTAACCAACATCTCACTCAGTGTTCTGATGTCGAACTATCCAACATGACACTCAGTCTCCTAAAGCAAACTATCCAACATCACAGTGTGTTCTGATGTCAAACTATCCAACATGACACTCAGTCTCCTAAAGCAAACTATCCAACATCACAGTGTGTTCTGATGTCAAACTTTCCAACATCACACTCAGTCTCCTAAAGCAAACTATCCAACATCACACCCAATGTCCTGATGTCAAACTTTCCAACATCACACTCAGTCTCATAAAGCAAACTATCCAACATCTCACTCAGTGTCTTGATGCCAAACTGTCCAACATCTCACTCAGTGTCTTGATGCCAAACTATCCAACATCTCACTCAGTGTCCTGATGCCAAACTATCCAACATTTCACTCAGTGTCTTGATGTCAAACTAACCAACATCTCACTCAGTGTCCTGATGCCAAACTATCCAACATTTCAGTTAGTGTCCTGATGTCAAACTGTCCAACATCTCACTCAGTGTCTTGATGCCAAACTATCCAACATCTCACTCAGTGTCCTGATGCCAAACTATCCAACATTTCACTCAGTGTCCTGATGCCAAACTATCCAACATCTCACTCAGTGTCCTGATGTTAAACTAACCAACATCTCACTCAGTGTCTTGATGCCAAACTATCCAACCACTCATTCAGTGTCCTGATGCCAAACTGTCCAACATCTCATTCAGTGTCCTGATGCCAAACTGTCCAACATCTCACTCAGTGTTCTGGTGTCAAACTATCCAACATCTCACTCAATGTTCTGATGTCAAACTATCCAAAATCTCACTCAGTGTTCTGATGTCAAACTATCCAAAATCTCACTCAGTGTTCTGATGTCAAACTATACAACATCTCCCTCAGTGTTTTCATCTCCATGTCCTCTATCCAACTTCTCACTCACTCGTCTTTTTTCTTCTTCAACTATCTCCTTCTTCAAACATCTCACTCAGTGTTCTCTTGTCAAACTATCCAAAATTCTCCCTCCCCTGTTTCCCTTCAAAACTATACTTCATCTCATCTCAGTTGTTCTGATGTCTCAAACTATTCAACATCCCTCCTTCTTGTTCCTATTTTCTCTACCATCTCACTCAGTGTTCTGATGTTCAAACTTCTCAACATCTCCCTCTTTTCCTCTCTCTGTCAATCTATCCAACCTTCTCCTTTCTGTTCTGATCAAAAAACTCTCCAACATCTCTCTCAGTGTTCTGATGTTCAAACTATCCTAACATCTTTTCTCAGTGTTCCATGTCCATCTTCTATCCAGAATCTTCCTTCTCAGTGTTCTGATGTCAAACTCCAACCGGTCTCACTTCACTGTTCTGATCTCAAACTATCTCTCTCATCTCTCTCTTCTTCCACTTTCTGATCTCCCTCTTTTCCGCGTTCTCCCTTCTCAGCCTTATTCCCATGCATCGAAACGCCTTAAGCATCTTGATGATCTTTTCTTAATCCATTCCCCATCTCTGTAAAATACATTATAATCTTTCCTTCTTAAACACCTAATTTTCATCTCTCCCATACTTTTTCCTTTCCCAGAAAACTGACATAATCTGTCACAGATTTTTCTGACCTCCTTTCTCAATGTCTATTTATAAACATATTTAACGATTTATTCTGTTTTCATTCTTCTGCTCCTATCTCCTCATTTCTCTTCACACCATTAGATCATTTCAGTTTTTTTAATCATTTTATCTCCGAAATGTTACCAAAGCTCCCCCCCCCCCTCCCCTTTTCGCCCACTCTTCCATCCTCTCTCTCCCTCTTCTGGGAATTAGTTGCAATATTTTATACAGCCGGAAAAGCCCAAACCCATCCCTCATCACCTAGCCTCAACTCGGTTATCCAGGAAAAGCGGTTATCTTTCCCTTCCTCAAATTACTACCATCTTAAGCTCGGGGATTTCGTGAGAAGCCGTGGGGAAGAAGGGATGACACACATGCAGAGAGACAGTTCTGGAGAGTCTCAATCAACCAGTGAGAAGTAGAGGAGTGTCTCTCTCTCTCCAGAAATGGCCATCTTTTTATGATCAATGTTTAGGCTCCTCAGATATACTTTAAATAAGCTTCAACAGCAGTCCCACACCGATCTTGCTCATAGCCATCATATGTGAATTGTTCAGCATCATCATCAGCTTCTTCTTCTTCTTCTTCTTCTTCTTTTTCTTCTTCTTTCTGTCTTTTTTGTTCTTCTTGTTCTTCTTCTTTCTCGTCTTCTTTCTTCTTCTTTCTTCTTCTTCCTCTTCTTTTCTCTTCTTCTCTTCTTCTTCCTTCTTCTCTTCCTCTTCTTCCTCTTCTTCTTCTTCTTCATTCTTCTTCTTCTTCTCTTCTTCTCTTCTTCTTCTGTTTCCTTCTTCCTCTTTCTTCTTCTTCTTCTTCTTCCCTTCTTCTTCTCACTTCGTCTTCTTTCTCTTCTTTTTCTTTTTCTTCTTCTTCTTCTTTCTTCTTCTTTCTTCTTTCTTCTCTCTTCTTCTTCTTCTTCTTCTTCTTCTTCGTCTTCTATTTCTTTTATTTTTCTTCTATTTTTCTTCTTTTTTTCTTCTTCTTCTGTTTTTTTCTTTTTCTCTGCCTCTTCTTCTTCTTTTGCTTCAGTTGCCATTTTCTTTCACGCCATAATGCCAAACTATCCAACATCTTCTCTCTGTGTCTCTCTTCTCAGTGTTTCTCTTTTCTTGAAACTGAAGAATCTGGATGTTTTTATTCCTGTCTCCATTTCTCATAAAAATTACATTAGAATTCTCCGTTCTGTCACATCCTATTATTGTCTCTCCCAGTTTGCCCCTATCCCAGAAAAACGAACAATCTGTCACCAGTTTTTTTATCCTAACCTCCTTTCCTGCTGTCTATAAACGTATTTAATGATTTTATTATGTGTTTACTCTTCTTCGCCAATTCCATTTCCCTTCACGTCAAAAGATTCTTTCAATTTGCGTAGCATTTTATCTCGTTTGTGTTACCAAATCGCCTCTCTCTCTCTCTCTCTCTCTCTCTCTCTCTCTCTCTCTCTCTCTCTCTCTCTCTCTCTCTCTCTCTCTCTTATTCTATGTCCTCAGCCTCTCTCTCGCTCTATCTATCCCCCTCCCCCCCCCCCACCTCTTGTGTGTATGTTTCTTCCACATTTTTCATAAAAAGGTGCACTATTATATGATCGAATTAGACGACATCAGCCCAAAAGCGTAAAACATCCCCCCCCCCCCTGCCCCCTTTTCCGTCCCCTCTTTTCCCCAGCCGGTTATCTAGAAAGAGCTGTTATCGTTCTTTTCCCCAGCTGGTTATCCAGAAAGAGCTGTTATCGTTCTTTTCCACAAATTACTACACATCTTTAGCTCAAGGAATTTGTGAGAAGAAGATGTGTCCAAGTGACAGGGGTAGTCGGGGAGAGGGTAGGAGAGAGAAGAGAAGATACAAATGCAGTGAGACATATCTGGAGGGACTCTATCGATCCGTTGGATGTGACGGAGTCCCACGAGGCAGAAATAGATGTCTTTTGCAAATCCACTTTTAATAATATTTGACAAT